ATTGATGTAAAATCTTACATTATAATATTTATTTATCTGTTGTAATGTAATGTATGTCTTGTTGTGTAATAAACAATGCGGCCGGGGGAGTAGCAATGCTCAAGAAGTTTCTCCCTCGATCGATTACGATACCGTATAAAAAAAAAAAAAAAAAAAGGGTAATTGCAGCGGGACGATGACCGAAAGCTGCCGTTGTCGTCGAGAACCCGGCTATAGGCGTTAACCTAACCCTAGCCGTGAATGAGGGTCGGGATACCTCGCGGTACGTATTAGGTGCTCTCTCTCCCATATGAATAATTCTTGCCTAGACCGAAAGCTCGAATGAGGTCAGACTACACTTCGGGCGAAACACGTACGTGTTTTCAGCTTGCTCGGGGCTTGATACGACAGAGGCATCAAACAGAAACGGCACTCCGACGCTCTGATGGTGACGGCCGCAGTGTTCACTGTGGACCTAAGATCGTCTGCGACGAGTCTATCGCACTTGAAGAAGAACTCGTGGTGGTTGTGGGAGTACCGCCTTAGTAGAAGAGGTCTGACTCGGGCGGTATCTGTCGTGCTCTGGTCCTAGCGGCGACTCATTGTGTCGGCTAAAGTGAGGTGGCACCACGCGAAGGTTCACAGAATAAACATCGGGGGCTCCCTCCCAGAAGAGATAACCACGCTGTTGCGTACCTGGTTCTGTAACTGACACGTGGAAAAAAACGAGTAGGAAATCAGCGACGAGATGAATAAAAAAAAAAACAGGTTCAGTTGATATGCCGATGATTTTTCTTTTATTGTGAAAAAAAACACGAGTTAACCTAAATCGCGTACGGTAAGGATCATAAGACTGACTACTATCCTATCACCGGTTCGCGGTGTCGGTGGTCAAGACGTTTCGACGCCGTTGTCGTGCGTCAACATCGTCCATTGTTGGCTGGCGGTTGGATAGAGAAGTTATTCCGTGGTTTTCCGCGTAAAGGCTGTTTGAATTCTAACGAATATTACACGAGACCCCGCGTCAACGCGATTTCATAAAGAGGTAGAATGTCTTGGGGTAACCCGGAAGAACTGGTTGGACCTCGCAACCCACGGAAAAATTTACCTATGCGTAATATGAATAATGTGTGTCAAAGTCGTGTTTCAATACACTAAAGACTGTTATGTGAACACGAGTTACGTAAATTATAGTATTATAATAAAAACTTTTATTTTTATTAAATTAATATTATTAATTAATAGCCTAAATCTTTCATTTTTTTTTTTAAATTTCAAACAATCAAATGCATTTCATCTACTTATATTTTTCATAATCTTAGTTCTATTGATGATAACTTAGTAATAGTTCATTACTTTAATAAAATCAGTCAAAAAAATATACTGTATTAGTTTTCTTACCAGTGTCAAACGACAGTATGATATTAGAATATATATTTTCTATAAATAAAAAAATATTAAATATGTTATAACTACTTATAAGAAAAAGGTTACGTTTTTTTCTGGGATGTTAGAGTAATCTTTAACATTTTTAAATATTATGCTATTTTTAACTTGTGGTGCTATCATATCATATCCTATATAAACAGGGCCCCCACATACAATTTTGGGCCCCTGTAATAAATGTTTGACTGGGCCCTTTAATAAAACTTCCAAAAATACAATTTACCATCTACGAGATATAATATATAACAATTTTTGGAATAATATTAATTTTTTTATTATACCACTTCGAATTTAATATTCATTGTTAAGATAGGACAACATCAGTATAAATTATAAAACATCAATATTCATAAGCATTTCTACATTAACAGTGTCTTTTTTATTTCTTTTATTACAATGTTATCTAAATTTAAAAAAAAAACAAGTTTATTTTGATTTATATTTAATATATATTTTTTTAATTTAAAATTTTATTCTGCGGGCTTTGAGCTCAGCGAACTCGGTAATTATATCGTCAAAGTTGATTGTCGAAGCCAATTCATTCTCCATAGATAAAATAGCAAGCGAGTTTAATCGTTCTTGACTCGTTGTGGATCTTTGCCACGTCTTCAGTGAATTTCCCAAGTTACTGAAAGACCTTTCTGCTTCTGCTACAGTCACCGGAATTGTACAAAATATTCGGAGACTAATACATACGTTTACAAAAATTGTTTGCACATTTTTTGCGTAAATGGAATTTAATAGTTCGAGTGGTGGCATTACATGGCTTTTTTGAAATGTTGAAGAATATATAGTTTTCAGATGTAACATTTCTTGACACATATTTTCAGATAAATCATATTTGTATTTTTGTACAAGTGATTTTGTTTTCAATTCTAATTCTTCATTGGTCAGTGATAAAAAGTTTAATAATGGCTCAAATATGTTACAAATATTTTTGACCGCTTGAAATCGATGTTCTAAGTCTGAAAGAATAAAGTCAATTGTGTAGTAAATCACATCATTTCTAAATACCATTTCAGGTTCAGTATTTTCAGAAGTTTCATCAATAAATTTTTTTTTTCTTTTTATTCGTCTAGTATTATCTCCAAAATGTTGAACTATTTGCATTTCTTTAGCTACTTGTTGCGTTTCTAATAAAATTTGGGGCCAGCTATCTCGTATATTTTGTAGGTCCTTTTTCAAATCTGAGAGGAGGTTAATTTCTACATCTAATGATATTCCTCTTTTTTGTATAATAACATTTCTTTGATCAATACACGATAATATTTTATACCAAAACGAAGACATAATCAGGCTTTTAAATGTAGTGAAATATTTTTTCATTGATTTAACTTCACTGTGATTTTTTTCTGGTAGTGTTTTACCAAGTTCATTTATTACGCGATCCAATGCATTTATGATACTAGGTAATTGTTTTGAAATGGGACGAATTGCATGAATACGCGAACTCCATCGAGTGTTTGACTGTGAATGTAATGAATTCCCTATTTCATCTTTTAAAATACTCCACCTAGCTGGACTTGAACTAAAAAATACATATAATTGTTGTACGTAACCAAAATAAGTTACAACTTTAGGACACATTTTAGCAGCATTAACACCAATAAGATTGAGTGAGTGAGCGGCGCACGGTGAGTATAAAGCCGAGTCATTTTTTTCGAGTAAAAGCGATTGCACTCCTTTTATTTTCCCGGACATATTGGCGCCATTATCGTAGCCTTGCCCCCTACAATCCAAAAGTGGAATTTTATAATTTTAAAGTCTAGAAATTAATTGATTAGCAATGCCTTCTCCAGTTTTTTCATTGAAATTTATGAATTCAATAAATCGTTCATAAATGTTGAATACTTCAGTTTTTTCATTTTGTGAAACATATCTTAATATTAAAACATTTTGCTCTTGGTGAGAAACATCTGGGGTAGCGTCTGCAATAATTGAATAATAAATTGCATTCTCACGTTGTTTTAAAATAATTTTCATAACTTTATCCCCACACAAAGAAATAAACTCATTTTGACTTTTCCATGATAAATAATGAGCACTACCTTTCATTGATTCACCTTTTATTTGTGATTGTTTTACCATAGTTAAATGTTCACGAGTTATTTCATCATATTTGCCTAGAAGTTCTAAAACACCCAAGAAATTACCATTATGTATATCACCAATTGTAGAATTATCTCCTTGAAATGACAAACCTCTTGATCCCAAAAATAAAGTAACATCGAGTAACCTACGTAAAATACCTTTCCATTTGTCAGCCTCGCACTTGATTTGTTTTTGAAGAATATAATCAACGCCGTGACCTATCAGTGACTGTTGTAAAGTTTTCCATTCTAAAAATAAATCTCTATGAACTTTACTATTTTCGTGAGTAGGAAGTTTTGAGTACAGTTTTTTCCATGATGTTTTATGAGGACAAAAACCTTCTCTTTTAGCTAATATACTAATAGTATTTGAAGTTTCTGTTAAATTTGGGTGAAATAAAATACAAGGTAAACAGTGTAAAGATTGTTTAGTCTCACTCCAAATTAACCAATCTCGAGAAAACGATTCACGATTATTTGATGATTTTGAATAAAGCATAAATTTACTAAAAGACTTACCATTAATATCTTTTGGCATATATTTTACAAAATTAACTAGTTCTGGAAATTTTGGTGCACAACAAACAATCATATCTCGAACTGACCTCGAAATTGTAGTTGGCCACATTCCAGGGTCCTTCAAATCCGGAGATGCCACTAATGTCGGTGAAATTAATTTTTTTGGTTCACTTTCACATGAATTAGAATCAGTGGTACTTGTAGAGTCAATATTAGTTTCGTCCGTTTCGAAAATTGCCACATGGTCTGGATGTGGCATATACGAATCGTTATTAACAAGCACGTCAGTCTTCGAAGTTGATTTGAAAAAATTTGTAATAGAAATACGACCCTTTACTTCTTTAGCATCTTTTTCTAATTTTTCTTTGCGTTTCAGAGCACCTGATTTATGCTTATACATTATATAAATTATTAAATGTACAAAGAATTATATAAAAAGAGACAAATTCACGGATTCGGATTTCGATAAACACGACGCGGTGTATTGCGCAATACTGATTAAATCTTGTCAACGAGCTGGAATACTAGGTATTAAAATCTAATAAAAGATAATAATAATCTAATATGGTTTGCAATCGATAAAGAAGGCTTAAACTGCAATCACGATAATTTCTAGGTAATCAATGATTAACTATCAAATTAACTATCATTAATCATTGTCTAAATATATATATTTATATTTCATAAATTAATTATTTCTACAAAAATTACAAAAAATACAAATAAAATTTCAACGGATCCACGGGCCCTTAAAATATCCGGGCCCCTGTACTCAAGATCCATCAGCCCCCCCCCCCATGTGGGGGCCCTGTATATAAATATCTACCAATAAAATAAGTTAAATTTTGCCTTATCACGAATCGTAATGTCACACAAGGATTTCTAAATTCAAGAATATGTATTTTCGTTAAGCAATTATACACTTACCATAAAAACTCTTTTTAATAGCCCCTATTTATAAATTGAATATTTAAAAAAAATAATGTAAATACATAAACTTTTTTATACTATTTTTATGAATGATAGGTACTCTTAACCCTAAATGGCCTAAATGTTTAACATTTATTATTCAATTCTTAATATACAGTCAACTCGCGATATAACGAATTTCAAGGGACCTAGAAAAAAATTCGTTACATTGAAATTCGTTATATCAAGAGAATATACCAATTTAATTTGTTATAACAAGATTTAAAACAAAACTTCAACATTTTATTATTCGTATACATACTTAAAATATATGAGTCATATTAATATGTATTTATTGTTTAATTTCAATATAGATTTATGTAATATTTCTAATAAAAATATGCTATTATAATAATATTGCTTTTAAAATGTACATATAATAAATCGTTATACATGTGTGCATTTATTTTTTTTAAAAATCAGATATTTTTGATTGTTTGCAACTGCTTGAGTTTACCTAATCAATAGTATTGTCCAGATTTAAAATGCTAGAAAACACACTGTCGTCAATATCATGTCTCTGTAAATAACTTAGAACGGCGCGAAGACCTAATTTGGCTTCCTTCAAGGTTACGATGGGTTCTTCAGAAGATTCTTCTTCGTCATTTTCTTTAAACGGTGCCGATATGTTACATAGTATGTTACGTATATTTTGCATAGAACCACTAATCGACATAAGTCTTATTTTATAGGGATACTGTTTTTGAGTGTACTATCTCATGATAATCATCAGAAAAACTTCGTAATCTATTATGTGGTTATAGCAACATACATATTTTTATATATTTTTCATTGAGTTATACACTAGAGACATGTATTTTATCTTAATTAAAATTAAAAATTCGTAATAGAAAGCTCCAAATTTA